TTCTTGGACAATAACATGGATCTGATGAGCATGTCCTGAAATTATAAATCCCAAGGCACTGCATCAAACCCTAATTGACCATGATTTGATCCTTAATAAATGAAACAACACATGGACTTATCTTGAATCTTGAAATAAATCAGAACCTTGAATAAAATCCACTATTAAATCAATCATTTGAACTTTTCTACTTGAATTGTGTTGAACCCAAAACCTTTTGAGCAATATTATGGACCTTCCTTGAAATCAAAATCATGTACTGCATAAAATCCTAATTAACCATGGTCTGGTCCTTGATGATCCTTAACCATGAAACACTGATAACTTGACATAGCCGGATAACTTGATCCATACACAACTAACTTGAATTGACACAAAAACTTAATTGGAACCTCAAACCACATCACTTGAATTATGCACACCCTTGCCTTGATCATGAAACACATTCTTGCCTGACCAAGATTAGGTCAAAACCAGATGAGGATAATATACATGTAAGAAAAATTCAGGGTATGACATTAACAGGTAGAACAAATTTGGGGTATGACATAAACCTATTTCACAGATGAGGATAATATACAGGTAGGACAAATTTGGGGTATGAAAAATTCGGGATATGACATAAACCTATTTCACATCAATTAGCTTCTTGATTGACTTTTCGAAAAGTTCCCAGATCTTGTTCTTCTGGATTACCCCGAGTTCTTCCTTCATGGCTGCTAACAAATTTAAATCATTCATGGCTTGATCCAAATTGATTAGTTATGCTTCAGCCATCATCATCGCTTCTTCTATTAAGTCACCATCTGCATTGACTCCTTAATTTGGAAATCTCTCATATCCATCTAGCTCTGCCGACTCAGTTCTTGCTCTAGTCGATCTCCTAATATCTTACTCAGGTGGTTATTCATTTTGATCAGTTATGGCTTCAGTTTGTCGATCTTCTTCAAACATAATATTGATTGTATCTGATTATTGTCAAACTGGCCCATGAATGCAATCCCACCATTTGCTTTCATCCACTTGAACATCTCAACTGATCACAAGTTGATCATCATTTGATGAATACAACTTGTATGCATCAGTCAAATGATAATCTATGAGAACCATAACCTGACTTTGATCATCTAGTTTCTTCATCATTTGTTCTGGTACATGCCTGAAGCACATTGATCCAAATACTCTAAGATGACTAACATTTGGCTTCACATATATCCAAGCCTCATACGAAGTCTTCTCGACCATCTTCTTGGTTGGACATCTGTTTAGAATGTATACTGCTATCAAACCTGCTCCACCCCAAAATCTCTTTAGCGTATCTTTAGCTTTCAACATGCTTGTAACCATGTCCAATATACTTCGATTCTTCCTCTCAACTATGTCATTATGCTGAAGTGTATAGGTTGCAATGACCTCATGCTCTACACCTTCCTCGTTGAAAAATCTAACAAATTCTCGAGAAGTGTATTAACCACCACCATCAGATCTCAGTTTCTTCAACTTGCATCCACTTTGCTTCTCGACATGCAATTTGAACTTTTTGAACTGTGTGAATACCTCACTCTTCCTTTCAATAAGGTAAATCCACATATATCTGGTGAATTCATCTATGAAGGTTAGAAAATAGTAGTTACCTCCATTCAACCTTACTTTAAATGGTCCACACATATCATAGTGAATTATCTCTAACTTTTCCTTCTACCTCATTGAAAAGTCATGCTTGAATGTTTTCCTAGCCTACTTTCTTTGCAACATTCCTCACATACCTTACTTTGTTCCTTCACCTGACGTAATGCATACACCATCTTTTTCTGGTTGAGCATACCTAAGCTTATAAAGTTTAGATGTCCATACTTGTGATGCCATAGCCGGTTACTGTCTTCTTCTACAGTCAAAGCATGACACTTGTTGCCCATGTCTTTCTTGATTAAATCAGAGTGATTCTTTGAGTTCTTCCTTCACTTCTCATCATTAGCATGATTCTTTCCTTACTTCGCCTTCTCTTTCCTATATTTATTAATGAATATTACTTGTAGTTCATGTTCAACCACCTTCTCCCTTTCTAAGTTTCTCTACTTCAACCTCATCTCATGAGCCTCTAATGAAGCTTGAAGTTCTTCTAACTTCATCTCAATTAAATTCTTGGACTTTTTAATTGACACTACAATGTAATTAAAATTCAAAATCAGAGATCTCAACACTTTCTCAATCTTTTGCAAGTCGTTGATTGATTCACCACACGACCTCATCTGGTTCGTTAACAGCACCTCACGTGAAAATTATTCTGAGATTGATTCATCTTCCTTCATCTGAGTCATCTTGAATTCTTTCTCAACGCCTGCAACTTCACCCTTTTCATTTTTTCATCTTCGTCTTTCAAGTTCTTTAATCTGTCACACACTCCTTTGGCAATTGCTTCTTCAATGATTTTCTCTAACGCATCAGAATGCACATACTGGTGAATCAAGAACAAACATTTTTCATCTTTCTTTCTTCGTTCCTTGTGCGCAGCTTGTTAAACATTGTTTGCATTCTCTTCCATTGCAGATACTGCATCGTTCACGATCTCAGCCACATCTTAAAATCTGAAGTCTTCATATGCGTAACCCAACGTCCATAGATCTCCCATTTGAAAACCGATAGTTTTCTTGGAAATTGCGTTGATGTTGTGTTTCCGTTTGCCATTACAGATTCTCTCTGAACCGCAACTCAGACTCCTTGATACCAATTTATTGGAACAAAAGTGTTTTAAAAAAAGATGATAGAAGGGAAGAAGAGAGAAAAGAGAGAAAAGTGAATTGTAGAAATTAGGATTTGTACTGAGTAAAATTGTTATGATTTAATCATACAATGCTTTTATATAGGCAACTAAAGTTCGGACCCAAAACTATACAAATCACCAAATGCTAAAACATATAAAATGTAAAGCACAAAACTACAAGTTACATTTCAATATAATAAATTATATGTTGGATTCGACTTAGTCGAATTACAACTTCTAATATAGTTCCTTTTATTTATTTTAATTTATTTTGGGTATTGCTAATAAAAAATATAAAAAATTGATTGAAATGTAAATCAGTATTTTACAAACCTATTTTTATTTGATTCAATTTATTTTTTATTTGATAATGTTTATGATATTTTTCTGGGATCTCCTTTATAATCATCAAAACTTATTATACATTGTTAACACATAGAACCACACATTTGAGTAGTAGATAAAGAACCCACATAATATTGATTTTCTTTTCAACTTATAATTGTTCTAAAAAAAAGTAAAGACAAAATCTAACAAGGATTTTCTAGTTCCTATATTTCCTGCACAGTATTCATCTACAAATTCTTCTAGGGTGTATCTCTATCGAAATTTCTTTGTGTACATTGAACCACCCTTCAATGAACCTATCAAATAGGTCATCACATAATCGATCAAGATGTTCTAAAAGGAATCACGTGAACGGAAACTTCACAGAATCGGTCAAGAAGTGGTTGATGATTGTTACGAAGATAACGATTATAATATATATAAAAGAATGAATGTATATGAATACTGTAGTGGCACATTGTTGTTCTTATCCAAGGCATGTATGAAATATCTATGTTGACTAAGAAAAGAGGAGCTATAGGCATGAGAAATCTAAGGACATGAATAAAGCTTGTTTGCTCAAGCTTGGATGGAAAGTTAAGAATAATGATAAAGTTTTTATGGTGTCGAGTTATGAAGGGTAAGTATGCTAGAAGTAATAGTCAAAATTTTGTGGAAACAAAATCAAATAATTCAAGCTTATGGAAGAGTATTGTGGGTGTATGGCCTACTACCCTTCAAGACAACATTATGCAGACAGTTGGAAATGGAAAAAGCATAGATGTTTGGCAAGATTGTTGGATAGTACCTGAAACCTCAAAGTTTATGCTCTTGTGGATAACTCGGGGCAATAGAATTCGCACTGGCTAGAGGACTTACTTCCTCGTGATATTTTGGATCGATTGTGTGCAATTCCACCACCAAATTCAGATATTGAATCAGATGTGTGTTTGGAGTGGCACAAATAAAGGATTTCAGTCTCTAGTGCGTTTGAGGTGTTCACGAATGCACAATATAACGAAAGGTTCAAGCTGCAGAAAGAATCAGAGTTTTCATCTGGATGGTAATGCATGAAGGATTGAAAACCAATAGAAGATTGCATCAGATGCGCTGCAGAAAGAATCAGAGTTTTCATCTGGATGGTAATGCATGAAGGATTGAAAACCAATAGAAGATTGCATCAGATGCACCTGAAACGGCAATTTTGCAAGGATTGCACGGGCATCATCGAAACTCATATTCATGCTCTAAGAGATTGCCCCTATGCTAGTGAGACTTGGAGATCTTTGGTAAAGAGAAAGCACTGGAATTATTTCTTTTATGCAAATTTACAGGAGGGGATTAATTCAACATGGAACAAGACATTGGCAATGGCAGTCAGAATTGGGTAGCTCTCTGAATTTGGTACTCAACTAGTATGATACCAAACACCAAAATTCAAAAATATTTAGAGTTTAACATTTGAGACATTAAGATACTTCATTACTCTCAGAAAATTCCAAATAGCTCAAAAAACAGTTACAGAGCCACAAACTTTAATATCATAGTGTTCTAACACAAATGTTTTACTAAATTTGTCAAATTCCTCAATCATCTCAATAAAATCCATTTGATTACTTACAATGCTACCCCCAATATCATTAATAACATGTGATTCATTCAATTGCTCGTTAATAGCATAAGACTTGCATGCTGTAGCTACTAATCCATGCCAAGAAAACATACGTGCAAAAGACTTTTGAACAAACAAAATAGTAAAAGTAAATAAATAAATTCAGTGACTCATGCTCGGATCAAATAGCCTTATAAATTGACATAAAAAAACAAACAATTTCTCGTACAAGTGTGGCTCATTCATTCGAATCGCAAGTAATATGAAAACAAAGACATCTTACATTTCAGAGTTCAAACTTCAGCAAACAACGCATCCTCGATGTAAGAAGACTATCCTCTCAAAATCACTAAAATAGATATTAGTTGGAGCAGTTATCTTTCTCAACGATGGACTTGAAAATAGCACTGAGGCAGCAATAACATTAGGACGCACATTCAAACAGTCTTTCAAATTGATCTCTCTCAATTGTGTGCATTTTTCTACCACATGTTTCACTCCCTTCTCTGTGCATCTTAAACAACCCTTTATTAACAATTGCAAAAGCCCGCAGCAACTCTTGGAGATTGAATAGAGTATTTCATCATCGACGTTTGAAGATGAAAAGTTCAACATCTTAAGCTTGGGAAGTTCAAAGTTCATTCCAAGTAGTTTCAAATATGAAAATGATATATTCAAATGACTTATCTTATGGCATCTACTTAAGACATGAACAATAGCTTCATCGGATATTTTCCTGCAAGATTGCAACTCAAGCCGGCGGAGATTGGGAAAAATAGAAGGAAACATTTTGATGCTTTCATCCCCTAACCATACATGGTAAGACATATTGAGAGACTTTAATTGAGGGTATACTCCAAAATCCATCCAATAGTCCTTATTCTCTATAGTCTTACGCACGATCTCTATCATTGTGATGTCACTAAGGGAAGGACATTTCCTAACTAGTGCAAACAAGGATGAATCTGTGAGCATCGGACAATGACTAAGGTTTATAGAAACCAAACCAACAAGATATAAAGACAACTCCACAACATGACTATCTTTCAAAAACATGGTGTATCCAAGATCCAAATGTTGGATAGATTGACATTTGGATAACAAACAAAACATTCCAGCATAACTATATCCCTGGCAATGAGCGAGGCCAATCATCTTCAAAGGAAGACCTTCCATTGCAATAGAGGTGAGCAGTTCATCGGAAATACGAGTATAAGTAAAATCAATATTAGTCAAACCCTTAAAACTCAACAAGGAGTGAATGACCTCTTTTGTAATGATTGGGGAAAGGGATAAATACGTCAATGTTGTTTGTTTGGCAGAGAGAGCAGAAGCAACTCCTTGTTTGGTAATTCGACAATAATAAGGCAAGATGAGCTCTTGGAGAAGCTTACAGTTGTTAAACAAGTGAAAAACGGACTTGTCATTGATATAGTAATGGCCCAAGAGATTAATCTTGCGGAGTTGAAAAAGTGACAGCGAAAGAGCCTCAATCCCATATTGGAGGAAGCTACAGCTGCTGTGATAATAGTGGATACAAGGGTCAGAGAGATCGAGTTCTTGGAGTAAAGGGAAACAATCCTTAATGAGGAACAAGTGAGTACTATTGAAAGACGGTAGTTTGGAACAAATGAGAGAGGTTAAAGTTGTAAATTTTTGAGAGAAAGCTCGGAGGCCATACGCGGGAATAATGATAGATTTATGAGAGAGATTGAGTGATGTGAGTTTCAGTGGGAAAAAAGAGATTTGACGGAGAAGTTGGTCGAGGTCGCCGTGGAAGTGAGAGAGGTCGAGGGAGGTTAGGTTTGTGAATCTATGGAAGAGGCCGGAGAGGAAAGGGGTTGCTGGATCGTATACAGAAAGAGAAAATCGGAGACGGTTGGTGATAGAAAATAACTGCTTGGAGACGACGGAGATAGACTTCAAATTACGATTATGATCGTAGTCATCATCACCGTCCTTGAGAAATTTGAATATATATCTCCAGCAATCATCTGGTAAATATATATATTCTGCTTCTGCCATTGTTTTACTTCTCTTCCTTATCATTGTCGACGGTGATTGATTTCCCGACCACGACGGCGGTGCTCGCCCACCGATTTCAGGTGTTAGGTGCCGTATTACTCATATTTTTTTGTTTTTTTTATAGAGAGTTTAATTGATAGGAAGATTGGAAAATAAATTTACACTCAATACATACCAATTAAATCTTTATTTTCTATAAATTAAATTTTGAGTTAAAGTCTTAAACAGTACAAATCAAAATGGGAAATTTTATCCCTACCTTGCTTTCTACTTAAATTAACGAAAAAAATTGTTCATTGCATCGTATTATTTTTTATTACATTTAAGAAAATCTATAACAAATCTGTGCTTAGGCGTTTTTGGGTGGATGTGATTTTAGATGCATATTTGTTTGTAAATTATAATAAAAATTAAAAATTAATTTTTTTTATAAAAAATAGTAGTGAATTTAAATTAAAATAATAACAATATAGAAAATGAAGAGTAAATAATAATATCAAAAATATTTATAAAATATAATAGTAAATTTAATTAAAATATTAATTTATTTTGACAATATTTTTAATAATATTTTAATTAATAATAAAGTTGTTTTCGTTTGTAACAACAATATTTTCTTTTCTATATAAAAATATTTTAATCAATAATAATTTTTTTTTGGTATATAAGATTAATTTTGTTTTTATATTATTTACAAAAATATTTGAATCAAAATATTATTTTTGTTTTAATAACATTTATAAATAAAAAATTAGATTCAATGATGAATTTATTTCTGTTTATAACAATAGTATTTTTTTTTTATATACAAATATTTTAATCAATCATAAATTTTTTTTGTATATACATTTTTTCTGAATTATAATAAAATTGTTTTTGCTTATAACAATAATTTAATTATTTGTTTTATTTTTTATATTTCAAAGACATTTGACTTTTATATTTCACACAAGAAATATCTAAACTTAATAAATATTTTTAATTTAATATGATTTGCATTTCTAATGCACTATTAGGTAATTTTAGAAAAGGAGAAATGTATGTAAATTTTACACAATTACTTTTATAATTAATGTTCTAATAAAAAAAACAAGTAAATATTATAATTTTAATAATATGTCATTAGAAAAACACAAAAATTTGTAATATGTCTTATAATAAAAATTACAAATACAAAAAATGAGTTTTATAATTAGAGAATGAGGGAACGTATTAAGGATTTAGAGTTTTAAAATCGTTAACCCATTAATATTAATTGCATTAAAAAATCAAAAATTAAAACAAATCTTTTAAACAATTTTAATGTGATTTTCTGTTGTTAGTTTCAAGAAACATTCAGCTATGGTTAGGTGGGAAAAGGATTTAACGGAGACTCATTTGCAGAATAAAGTAGGATAATAGTATAGGGTAATTATGATTTTTTTCTTAAAATAATACCCATACTTTTTTATTAGTCTCATTTAATATAATGATGTGATTTATCACTAAAAGTTTATTTTTTCCGTTTTTTATTTTAAATTATTTTTTTATTTTTCATATATATTAAAAAAGGTAATAATTATAATATAAAAAAGAAAAATTATAAAGTGTTTTATAAAGTTGTTCTACATGATATTGAAAAAATAATTTAAATAATTAAAAAAAAAGAAAATAATAAATATTTATAAATATAATATAAAAATAATATTAATTATTTATTATTATTATAAAATGGTTTATATTATAATATAAAATATTTTCACAAAGCGACCTATAATAAAAAGGAAAAGTAATAGAAACGATGTGATTTAATTTAATATAATGATGTGAATAAATAAACAAATTTTTATCTCTACGTGTTTAATTTAACGTAATGATGTGATTTATATGTTAAAAAAATTTAAAACCAATAAAACTGTGTCATTAAGATACCATTGAATTTCTTCAATACATGTTGTTTCAATCCAATACTTTCAATTCTAAACTTCAATCTCTATTCAATCATACAAATAATTTAATTTGTTAAATTATTTATCTTAAAACATCTTTAGTGTGAGAAAACTAAATGTGTAAATTAAAATACTTTTTGTGGGTTTAAAGTGATTTGTAGAATTTAAAATATTTATAATTGATTTGATTTGTTTTTACTTTAATAATGATTGTTTGTAAAAAACCAAAATTTGATCCCTCATTTTATAATTGTTGAAGCTTTATTGATATTTTATTAATATAAAATAATAATAAAATAATAATCAAAGTAATTGAAATTTGATAGTGTGCCTTGGTTATATAGTTTACTTCCACTAATTGTTACTTCACTTACTGACATGTCATTCTTATTTCAATTCAAATTATTTATAACCACCATTACTATTAAAGAATTTAATATCACACGACGTTAAAAATACTCTTAATATTTAGTCTTTTCTTCTCTCCTATCCAAGTATACAAGAAAGTAAAAGGTATACAATTTATATGATAATAATAATTGTCAAACGGATTTATTATAATGATAATAATAATAAAAAGGAACATGATAGTAATGGTAATAATAATAATTAAAAGTTATAAAATAATAATAATAATGGTAATAATAATAATGATTAAAAGTTATTGAATAATATTTTTAACAATTAATATTATTGAATATAATAAATGAAAGAAAAAAAATTGAGGCCCGAATTGGGACTGACAGTAGTAAAGTGTTTAAAATAGTGTTTTAATAGAGTAGAAGTAATAATCGTGTGTTATTTTTTCTACTTAAAATTTAACAGAGTTAATTATCAATTGTCCTTCTTTAAACTATTTAAACATATTTAAAAAATAAACTTAGAAAAATTGTCAAATTCAACTTTCTCCGGTGCACTAAATTCTCTTGATTTTTCAAAATATTTTATAAAATATTCAACATCTTTTATTTCTAAATTGTTGTATTTTTCTATATTCGATTACAAATAGGATTGATTATCACTTTAATTCTCACCTTTTTAAATTATATTTTCATTAATTTGACTATCACTTTGATTCTCATCTTTTTAAATTATATTTTCATTAATTTGATTATCACTTTTTTTTGTATGAAATATTTTTTTCCATTTAAAACCTCTTATTTGAATATATAAAAATACAATCAGTTCTATAAACCTTTATACTCAATATATAATAGTGGATTATTGGAAAAAGCTGAGTTTAAGAACATTGATTTATCTTACTTAAGCAAGAAGATATGATTTTTGCAAGAGACATTGATAAAGCTGAGTTTAAGACATTTTTTATCACTTAAGTTCAATATCACTTTGTAAGCCTTATCTCTGCACAAGATAAACACAAATCTTGTAGTATCCCATGAGATCTTGAAGATAGTACCAAATTTGTCAAAGTTCTATCTCTCTGCATAGTGGAAAAACTCATCCTAATGCATGAGCTTAAGTTTTTTTTAAGCATTAAGTGAAAAGTCCAATTAGTCAAGAAACCCCTCAAGCAAGTTAAGACTTTGTTCTGAACACCAATGATCAAGTCACAATCTGAATGATGATGGTCCAAATTGTTAATATTTTATCATGCTTAGAAAGAAAGCTATATGTATCTTGGCATTCAAGTTAAGGAACATGACATAAACCATTGGATAATAGTATGCATCTCAATCCAAAAACTTTTCCTCCAAAAAACTAACTTGATTTTCTATAAATATGGATCATTTCTGATTAATTAACATACATTGCCAAGAGCTCTCCATATCAAAATCACATATTCTTGCAAAAACACTCCATTTCACAAAACTTGTCAAAGTCTTCCATAACCACAAAACAACCAAACCACCTATCCACACACACCATAAATCACATAAAAAAGTTGTTCAAACCCTTCATTTCATCAGAAAGCATCCATATCAAAAAGTCAACCTTCACTTGCTCTATAGTTGACCTTTTCTCCAAAACCTCATAAATCTTCATACAATCCAATTTCATTAAACTTGACCTTTCAAACACCATCCATAATTTTCACACAAAGTGTCCAAGGTGTCGCTTTGTAACTTTAACTCCATTTGTAGCAAGATCAAATTCACATTTTTCATATTTGCAAGAGGAATCATTCATAAAGTTTGGAGTTGTTTCAATATAAATTAAGCATCCTAAAATAATCCTAGAGGTCCATAGAGGCATTTTGAATCATCAATCATCTTCTGGAATCAGTGAAAGAGGCATTTTGAATCATCAATCATCTTCTGGAATCAGTGAAAGAGGAATTGGACCTTGTTCCAATAAGTAAGCCTTGAACTTATTGTAACTCTTTGATTCTTGCATTATCTTCATACTGTGAGTTACCAAATCATTTTGAAGGTGGGAAAAACACTTAGAAAGGGGGGGGGGGTTGAATAAGGGTTTCTTAAAACAAATATGACAATATAAAAATCACACAGTATTTTTATCCTGGTTCGTTGAACTCAACTAATCCAGTCCACCCTACCAAGGTGATTTGTCTTTCTCAACAAGGACTTAATCCACTATATTCAAACTTGATTACAATGTTAACCACTAAGACAACACGTCTTAGTCTTCTCAAAAAATCCTGACCACAACTTTGTCTTCTTAAGAAAACTTTTACAATCAAATGTAAACTAAACAATAGTGTATGAGTTGCTTCTAAAAAGCGTTAGTCACAACTGTAATTTTTACACAAGGTTTAAGAATGAATAAAAACTATTCAGCTTATGAAGAATATTTGTATGAGAGCTTGAGAGTAGTTTGTCAATTGATTCGTCAACTTTGATACGTTGTTGAAGACATCCTTTTATAGTGCTAGAAGTCCAAAGCTTGGAGATTGTGCACTGCTGAGTAGTTGTATCCCTTTTGTCTTGTATTGACTTATCCTTTCTCAAAAGAGGAATGTTCAAACTAAAACCTTTTTGTCTGAAATCCTGTGTCACACACGAAAGAGAAAAGAGTCGTTCAGATAAGGACAAGGAATATGCCAACAGATATTTTTGAATAGCATCTTCTTCAACACGCTTCTTTCAAAGTTACTCTTATCAGAGTTTCTATATC